CTTTCATATACCTGGTGCATATGCCTTTAGCTTTATTGGTACAAGAGGGGTATATAACAATAATTAAAGTCTGTAAGATGATCTACCATGGGTGTGTTCGGTATCTTACTCATATGGTGGATACCAATAAACCAATCAGGCTTAAATAGTGTCTTAGTAGTTCAAAAATCTGTAGATATATTTCCTGATGATTTTACAGACTTATCTCTTTATCGTGAAATTAAGTTCACTACATATATAGTTTTAGATACTACTACAATTTTAAAATCACCATAATGCATGTAAATGATAAATTTTCAAGAAATCAAAGTACATCTATAAGAATTAATATATAAAGGCTTCTCTAGACCCAATATTTTACAATTGGGAGCACTAATTTTTTTCATGAAAAGAAAGATGGAAGAATGAGACTTTGCATTAACTATAGGGAGCTAAATAAGGTTGCCGTGAATAATAAGTATCATTTACCTCAGATTTATGACATTTTAAATGAGTTGTAAGGCTCTTTTATTTTTGTCAAGATTGAACTTCATGCGGGGTATCATAAGTTAAAGATTAAGAATGAAGATGTGCCGAAGAGCCCTTTTTAATCTAGAGATGGTCACTATGAATTTTTTCATGCCTTTTTGTTTGACTAATGCCCCTGTTGCTTTTATGGATTTAATGAATATGATTTTTAAGTCATTTTTAGAGTAATTTATGATATTATTCATTGATGTTATCTTAATCTATTTCAAGAATGATGAGGAGCATGCTTGACATCTCATAACAGCATTTAAAATTTTTTGTGAAAATAAACTTTATATAAAATTCTTGAAGTGTGAGTTTTAGCTTTGAGAGGTGGTGTTCCTTAGTTACATAGTCAACAAAGCTATAATTTCTATGGATCCTGCTAAGATTAAAGCCATAATGGATTGAACGAGGATGTACACCATCACTGAGATTCATAGTTTTGTATGCTTAGTTGCTTATTGCAAATGTTTTATGGAGGGCATTATAATATTTTTGTTCCACTGAATAGTCTGACTCAGAAGTATGTTAAGTTTATATAATCTAATGCTTTTGAGTAGAGTTTTCATAAGCTTAAAAATTGCTTGTTGTCAACTACTATTCTCACCATTCGTTTTGGTACTGATGGATTTCAAATTTATAGTTATGCTTCACATCAAGGATTGTTTTGTCTGATTACAACACAACAAAGTGGTAGCTTACACATCCAGACACATCAAGGTTTATAAAAAGAATTATCCTACACATGACTCAGAGCTACCTGTAGTTATTTTCACTCTAAAAAATTTGAGGCATTTCCTTTATGATGTTCCTTGTGAGGTTTTCACTGACTATAAGAGCTTAAAATACATATTTACTCAGAAGGAGTTGAATTTGAGACATAGATGATGACTAAAGTTAATGAAAGACTATAATTTATAGATTCAGTATCATCCACGCAAAGCTAATATCGTGGTGGATGTTTTAAGCAAGAAGTCTTCATCTTATGCAACTTGGAAAATCACTTAAAAGCAATAAGTAGTGTATAAAATGGATCAACTTTAGCTTGAGATAGTAACATTAGAAGGTAACTCTATTATTTATTGTATATTTTTCAACCAAAAATTATTGATGAATATTGTGAAGCCCAAATGGAAGATATAGAGTTGATGAAGATACGACAAGCTCAGCATTGATTGAAATCAAATTTCACTATTGATCATTTTAGTCCATTCAAATTTAAAGATCAGCTATATGTTCCATATCATTTTGAGATTCGACAAGAGATTTTTTGAGTGGTGCACATTACTTCATACTTAATTCACCTAGGGAGCTCAAAAATATATCAAGATCTTAAGAAACAATTTTGGTGACCATGTATAAAAAAGGATGTGGCAGATATTATAGCCAAGTGCTTAAACATATCAGATGGTCAAGGCCGAACATCAGAGACCTAGTGGTCTATTACAACCTCATCTTATTCTAGAATGGAAGTTGGAGGAGATTGTTATGGACTTTATAGTTGGCTTGCCAAGATCAAAATAAGGTCATAATGCAATTTGGGTCATAGTTGATAGACTTAACAAGACAACTCACTTTCTACCGATAAAAAGAATTACTCAATGGAAAAGCTAGCAAGGATCTATATGGATAATATCATTTGACTGCATGGGATTCCCCTTATTATTTTGTAAGATTGAGATGAAAGATTTACGTCAAGGTTATAGAAGAAAGTGCAAGAAGCTTTGGGTATGAGGTTATATTTCAGAACTACATTTCACTCACATACAAACTATCACAACCCAACTCGGCCAGAATAAGTCCTATAGTATTGAGTTGTGACAAGTAAATCCCAAGATCTAATTTTGAAATATTTTAGATTCTCTTCTAAATTTTATTTTAAATAAACTACATACTACAGAGCAAATAAAAATATTTATAGTACTATAAATAAACTCATTCATAAATTTCTTTCATTTCATCAAAAATATATCCATAATACAATACAAGACTATGAAACAGAAGCTACATAGCTGAAAAATCAATTATCCATGAGTGTATAAAAAAAATAGAAAAATAACTATAAACTTTTATCTAATCCTAAAATGCTAATCAAAATGCTCCTTCCCTGTCCTAGATCTTAAAAACTTGATGCAAAACCATAATGAGCTCAACCAACTCAGTAGGCAATACAAATCAATCTAAATTTCGAATTTTTTTTTACTAAACATCTTGCTGAATATTTAATTAATTAAATGTACTCTAATAAATCATTGTACTTAAAAGGTAATAAGAGTATAAAAGTTATATAATTATTTAAATAATAATATTGACCAGATAAATAAATTAAAATTTATATCATAAAGTTGTAATTTATATCATAAAGTTGTTCATATCACATCACATTTTATATCACATATCTCAGTCCCAAATAGAATCTCAAAGGATTCAAGCTCATTATAACTCTCTTTTATGCTTATAGTACCATAACATGCTCATAGGCACTAAAACTTGACTTATAGATACTAGAATACGACTTTATAGCCACCACACTAAAATATTCCTTGACACAGATAGAATCTGAAAGGATTTCAATCCCTTACATCTCACAGTAGATGTTTTTTAATTATATAATCATATATTTCATCGCATTGTAATAGTTAAGTATAATTTAATACAAGTCATAATTACATAGTTTGTTATAACAGTAGGCAATAAAATTTCTAACAAACAAAATTTCATATTTTCAAAATATAACCAAATTACCAAGAATTGTTTTAAACACTATTTTAAGACATTCATTGTGCTATAACATAATTTTTCAGTGTTTGTATTACTTTTTTGTTCGATAAAAATTGCACAATTTTTAAATTTTTTAGAAAATACTCAAAACATTCAATATTTTAATCTCTAAAACATATAAAAAGTTACACGATGAAAGTTTTATCGGTGCTAAGTTATTTGCATTTCTTGATAGTAGAAATGAAAATTTTATTGTTTATACTATCTTGTAAATTAACATATACTTATGTATATCAAATTAATTCATTTGATGAGTAGAACACAATGACATGCTTTATAATGATTTTTGTGATATAAATTAATTAAGAAATTTTGTACTTTTATCTTATGAAAATTGAGTATTACACTAAATTCACAAATAAAATAACTAAATATATAAGTATAACCAATTAAAATCTAATGTAATCTAATCCCATCTAAATACCAAGAAAGAAAAAAAAAATCATTAATTATCATTTGCATACTTTTACGGATGGAGGAGGAAGAGGAGGCTTCTTTATTCTATGATTTCATGATTTGAATAGGAAGAGGAAGAATCAAGGAAGGAGATTGAAGGTTGGAAAATAAGGTTTCAAAAGAAGGAAGAAGGGTTTGACAGCTGGGAGAGGGAGGAGGGTAGAGAGATGGACTATGCCCTATCATTTGTCTGACCTAAATGGTGAGAGGGAAAATATAGGAAGGCGAATCATGTAAAAATCATGGTCGTGATTGAGGTTAATCAGAGCATTATCACGTGAAAAGGCTTGAAAATGAGGATATTTTTGCATGTTGGGGGCTAGTTTGGTTCACGGGAGGCCAGTTTATTTTTGTTGAGTCAACTCAATTATATTCGAACCTTATTTGAAAGTATGAACAAGGTTTCAAGATGATTAAAATATGCTCATAATATGTATGTAATGTCAAACATCCATTTTGAGTTTAAGGTTTATAGTGTAAGCTATACATTCAAACCTAAATATTCAAGCATATAGTATTACTAATATTAAACAAATAGTCATAGAAAGAGTGATAACTTTGACACCAATCGCTTATATGTCATCTAAAATTTTGTATGAGACAAATTTTTTACTGTTTTTTAAAGAGTCAACTCAATTATATTCGAACCTTATTTGAAAGTATGAACAAGGTTTCAAGATGATTAAAATATGCTCATAATATGTATGTAATGTCAAACATCATTTTGAGTTTAAGGTTTATAGTGTAAGCTATACATTCAAACATAAATATTCAAACATATAGTATTACTAATATTAAACAAATAGTCATAGAGAGAGATGATAACTTTGACACCAATCGCTTATATGTCCTCTAAAATTTTGTATGAGACAAATTTTTTACTGTTTTTTAAAATAGCTTTCTAGTAAAAAAAATTTAAAAATAAAAATATTTGTACTAAAAAATGTTTTAGAAAATAATTAAAAATTGTCCCAAATGAATTCATTGAGGTGATAGAGGATGTGCTCAAATGAGGAAGTATTGGATAGTTTCTTGTTGGAAATCGCATGCCTTAATACGCTAGAGGTTTAAAGTTTATTTTTATAATATTGGAATATTTTGGTCTGAAATAAATTTTTAAAATGATTGACTAATTTTGAATATTAAGAAGCAAAATTTTATATTATTTTATGGACCTTGAAAGTATTTCGATCACTAGTAAAAATTCCATTTAAAAATTAAAAAGAACTGATAGCCGTAGGCCCATAGAACCCATGAGCCTAACGTTTCATTTCCACGTTTGGCTAAGGCTTCTTCAATGGCTGCTACTGCTTTCCTCCTGCGCTCCCTGCACTTCTCTCCTGCAGAACCCCGTAACACTCCGCATGAAAAATCCCATCGGTCGGCGTATCTCCTGTGGAAGATGATGAAAGGACCAAGAAGGAGAAGCCAAGCGGTTGCTGCTTACAACAGCGATGGAAATGGGGATCTGGAAGGTGACAAGAAGCAATCTTCTTTCAGACCTTTCGGTTTTGTTACCGACAACCCCTCCAGTCGCAGCGCAATCCAGCTCCCGGAGAGTCCAGCCGAGGACGGAAACGTCGGCCAGATGCTCTACGTAATTTTCCCGCTCGTTCTTTATCTCCATGACCAATTTCAACGGTCGATTTTTTTCTTAGTTATTATTCTCTTGAATGAGGCGAACCCCCTCACTAAATTCCATGCTAATTAGGTATTTTTTTTTGCTTCTGAGCTTTTGGATTGGGCAACTGGAGTGGTTTCAAAGCTATTGTAAAATTTATTATTGAATGACTTTCGTTGCTTTTATTGTCTAAACAACTGCTGTGTTGACTCTCATGTGAGCGGAGTTTTTTAATTTTTGTCTGATTTTGATCCATTGCGCTGCTATTAAATATGCTCTCTAGTAGTATAAACATAAACATCAGTACCAATATTAAATCTAGTATTAGAACTTTAAGGGGCTATAACAGATTTACACAGCTAAATGTTCAATTATTTGCAGCTGCCATCTTCTTGAACGTGCAGTGATGAAATACTGATAGTCTGACCCTACATAATCTGGGGATGGGATTATCTATTTCTCAGGATGATGAAGCGTTCAAGTTCTGTGAAAGTCTAATATTCAAACTAGATGCATATTTGAGTTATTCATACACAGTGCAATATTTTTTTTCCCTCTGTACACAGTGCAATATGTGTTTGTATAGAAGCATATTTCTGATCGAAGATTCTGTCATACCTTACAAGAGTTTTATGAAGGCTTTGAGTTATCAAATCTGACATCATTGATGTGTACAACTCATTATGATATGCATTTTGGAGTAAGTGGCCTAAATTCATTATGCCAACCTTATGCTTTGGATGGGCCATATTTTCCAAAAGGTTGCAAAAGAAATAAATGTAATTGCTGAGCTTTGGTAGAAATGCCTTAATTTTAATTCATAATTGCGGCTTACTTTAGTTTCAGTCAAATTTGAAAATAAACTTGTTCTTTTTCTTCCATTGGAACTATTTCTTGCATGTTTCTCTAAGTATGTTTTTTGCCACATGCTTAAAGCTTTGTGATTGTTTGAGTTTGCATTTACAAACTTGCTACCTTCCTTTCCATGCACTAAGTTATAACGTACATAAATTTTGATTACTCCATTCTATGCCCATTTATGTTGGCCTATTTATTTTTTTTTTCTTTTTGAGTTGGTCAACATATTTTAAGCACTAACCATTTTTGTTTGCTTTTAATGTTTGTTTGTTGCTATCTGTAGAGGATAGAAGATAAAGGCAGGGATTATGGATCATATGTAGAATCTGGAAATTTGCGTTGGTTTGTGCGAGAAACTGGTAAGTGCGTGCTCGTAACAACTACCTTAGCTAAAATAAGTTGTCCAAATGAAGAGATTAAGAAAAAAACACTCCATGTAATAATGTGTAAATCATTTCATTGTTTGTTTATATCCGAATATGGGGTCTTTTGATCAACTTTGTAAAGGGTGGTGGGGCCTCTTACTCCTCGGATCAACATTAATATAAGGTTGCATATAGTTGACATTTGTAACATAACTCCGTTAACAAATTCTATGTTGTCAAACTTGTCCAAATTACACATAATTAACTTGATGATTAAATGTGACTTGAACCTTTCATTACAATTATGTTCATAAAATTCAATTTTGCCTGGAAATTTATGCATATCATGACAGTGTTTTAAATTTTATTGGTTTAACCAATTAAATTTTGTTAAATGTACTTTAAATGAGAAAATTTTGTCTCCGTTTAATCTTGTTAAATTAGAAAATGATACTTGCTAAAAAAGATCCTCCTCCATTATAACTTGATTTGACTATTGTTTCTTGTAAAAATATAAAATTATTGAATTTTCTATCCACTCGGCAGAATTTATTTATAAATTATAATTTTACCACCAGATCCTCAATTACCCGCTTAAACATTTAGCTCATATGGAAGGGTAAACATTTGGGATTCAAAGAAAGATTAAGCTGCTACAATCAATAACTACATCATTCGAAATTCACGTAATTATGCGTCAAAACATTTAGGTTTCAAATGCTTAGATATTATTGCACATTATGCATAAATCAATAAGCATATTCCTAGCAAAAAGATATTCCCTAGAAATACTCATAAATCACTATATACTTCCAATACTATAGACCATCAGCAACACTCCCATACCTTAGCCACTAACCCCTGACATATGCTGGATGCAAAACTTGGATAACAAATGGCTTTAGCTTTCAGGTCATTTCACCCGTTAGATGAAAAATTCAAATTTATGAATAACACTGGTGTATGCAGATGATGTTGTCTAAAATAAAACACATGTCCCTATCAATCATTTGCTCTTTTCCATGCCACACCTTCTTTCATATTGCCAGCCTAAGATACTGGTTAATGAAAATAAAAAAATGCAAATTTCTTTTGTTTTAACAGAACTATTCGGGATCCGACCTACTTAATTTTTTAAATAAAGCTCAACTGATGCAGGTCTAAGTTAGAATTTAAGTGAACATCAAATTATTTAGATGAATATTGTAGGAATTGAAGTTTGAGTTCAAGTGAGAATGAGCATTGAGTATCTAAATGTCTACAGAGTGAGTTATGGAAGTGTTTGTAAGCAAGCTATAATCAAGCTTGGGTATATTAATTAGAAGGGAAATTATTTAATCGATGAATTTTGGTGTATATTGTACAAGTAACAAAGCTATTAATGTTTCCTTTTATCCTCTTCTTTGATACCTTGATAATTTGATATTAGGTATTATGAAATAGTTGGTCAAGGGATAGAATTTTAAAATTAAAAATAGCAATTGAAAATCTTTGGTGTTGCATATGGGATTAAGAAGCACAATGACTGCCATTATATGTCTAGGTGGGTCTAGACTGTTGGACGTATCACACTTTAGGGTGTTTCAACCACATCGAGTTGGTTACACTTATTTGCTTCAGCTACATATCGATCAAGGGTTACATGCCATATCAAGAGCTAGCCTAACAACAAGGACTATATTATGGCTATAAATAGGCTACTAGATGGTCTACATTATGACCTTGGCTTCACTAAGTTTACAAAGATGAGGCCTTCCTTATCAAGCCTACAAAAGAGGCTAACCACATCATTATACATATCGAAAATGTTTAGTTTACATGATATAATTCTTTTTTCTATAGTACATCCAAAATTGTAAATTCAGAAAGCTATTATGTAAGAAAAAATTGGTCGCCTGCCTCTGTTTGACTTTCTCCTTTCATTTCCCTGAAATCATTTTCATAATATCTGATGAGCTACATGTTCAGCAGGTTAAATAATTTTAATATATAAGAAAATAATATAGCATGCTTTGTTGATCATATGAATTAATATGAGCATTTATTTTCATAAATATAATTAGCTTAGCGCAACACTTTTAAGTCAGTCTGCTTTCATGATTTAAGAAGTAAAAGAATTGATTATAAGCAATGAACATGAATATCTATAAAATAGTGAAGTATATATGTAAAGGTCGAATTATTTAATATACTATAATATGAAATTAAATGCTTTACTTTCATTTTCTTCTCAATTTATACTTATCATTTACTTCGAAATGTCATTTAATATTTATATAGGCTTTGCATATCTATATCATTTGAGTTCTTGAAAAGAAAGGAGTTAATAGCGCTTATATTCAAACCATTAAAGATATGTATGCAGGAGCTATTACTTGTGTTCAAACACAAGGTGGTTTGACCAAGTATTTCCCTATTTCGGTTGTGTTACATCAAGGATTAGCCTTAAGCCCATATTATTTTGCTTTAGTCATGGATGTTCTCACTAGACATTTGCAAGAGGATGTACCTTGGTGTATGCTTTTTGCTGATGATATTCTTTTTGTTGATAAGACTAGAGAGGGAGTTGAAGGTAAACTTGAATTATGGAGGTCAACCTTAGATTCTAAAAGTTTTCGCTTGAGTAGATCTAAAACGGAATATATGTAGTGTAATTTTAGTAGTAATAGACCTAGTGAGGGGATTGTGACTTTGGGCGATCAAGTCATTAATAAGAGTACACGTTTTAGATATCTTGGATCTATTGTTCAGAGTGATGGTGAAATAGATGGGGATATTATCAGCAGAATTTAAGTTGGATGGTTGAAGTGGAGGAATGCATCGGGCTTGTTGTGTGATAGAAAAGTACCCCTCAAACTTAAGGGAAAATTCTATAAGATGGTGGTGAGGCCTGCAATGTTTTATGGTGCCAAATGTTGGTCATTAAAAGAGAAGCATATTACTAAGTTAATTGTGGCAGAGATGAGGATGCTCAGGTGGATGAGTGGCTTTACCCTTAGAGATAGGATACAAAATGAGCATATACGTGAAAAGGTTGGAGTAGCTCCAGTAGAAGATAAGATTAGAGAGAGTTGCCTTAGTTGGTTTGTTCACATAAAATGGCGGCCTTCCGATGACCCGGTTAGGAAAGTAGAGGTATTAGATTTGACTTATGTTAACAAAGGTAGAGGCAGACCTAAAAAGACTTGGTTAGAAATATTAGAAATGATATTTCTTTATTAGATATAAATGAGAATTTGACTTTTAATAGGAGACAATGAAGAAAAAGAATTCATGTAGCCGACCCCATGTAGTGGGATAAAGGCTTGTTGTTGTTGGGCTTCACCTAGCCCTTCGGCCATAATAATCCTTGATAAAGTTTGGTTTGCCCAATATTGTAGTTATCAATGGCCTCTCAATTTGGTTTGGTTCATTTCAACTTATAAAATTGAGAGTTGGGAAATTTTTTATTCTCCTTATTGAAATTCATCTCGTCATAACTTTACCTCTTTCTGTGCATGTCGTTGTAGTCTATCAACCTATCTCTCTTGACATGACATTTTTTTTTACTTTCTTTATTTTTGCATCATTTTTATGAACATCTAAAATATTTAACATTAAAATGTACTTGTTATGAATCCACTTGCATTAGCATGCATTTAAAGTAAATCATAATATGTAAAACTCAACATTTAAATACTAAAATATGCATTGTCTTATTTAATTGTATTATGGCTTGAGATAAATAGTAATATCATACATTTTTATTTGAACATGTGATCATACAAAATGAATTTACGTTTCTGATACTATGTGCTGTTAGCATACCGAATGCAAAGAAATTCTATACCTATACACAATACGATCAAATGAAATTTGCAAAGACTTATAAATAATAAGCCTAGGAATATTTTGCCTATTATATTTGAGATTGAGCATGTCGCTGCAGTTAGTGGGTTCTCTTCAGGATGAATTACCTTATTTTTATCTCCTAGAAGCCTCGATTTATAGTAAACAATCTAAAAATAATGATTTTGCCAAATTTCAATAATTTCCTAAATAGAAAAACAAATCTATAACAAATATTTTCAAAATATTATTTTTACTTCAATAAAAATTTCTTCTTATTCAAGCCTTAAGCCTTAACTTGAATCTAAGCTTTGAAAAGATTGCAAAACTGAATTTTTCTTACCAAACCTAAGCCTTGCATTTTGAATTTCTCTTACCAAACCTAACTCTCCTTCATTTTCTTCCTTTCTTCTTCGCTTATTTTTCTTTTCCTTCTTTTCTTCTTATGTCCCTTCTTTTCGTTTTAGTTTCATTAGGCTACAGTCTATCAGAGCTCTTGTAAATGAGTAAATGGGGAATATAATGAAATACTATTGGTTATTACTATATAAATATGTTTATACAAATTAATATATAAATAAACACAATCATAACCATCCAAATCAACAATCACCACTGAATGTGCGGGAAAGTGGATCTAGAGAGGTTTTTCTGTACGATAATAATTCTATTATAGAAACATTAAATAAAAACTTAAAAAATCATTTAACAATTAAATTCATATATAAATACTATTATACTTACTTATTTACATATATTTTGATATAAAAAAATTATCAAAATGAAATGTAGAATATTATAAAAATACATTTGGCCATTTTGTAATGCATGAAAAATGGGACATAATTCAAGGAAGAATTCTAATTGTAGCTCTTAACATTTTTGTTTATGTCATTTCTCTCTTATAAGAGTTTTACCTTTGAAATTCCTTAACAACATTCAAATAGATGGGGAAATTTATGTTTAATTTCTTATTATTTTTCTCAAGGTGCTTCTTTTTTTATCTATGCTTCCGCTTCTTTTTAATATATAAAATCTACTTATTTTCAAGCATTTGAACTTCAAATTTTAAAATACTTTAAGGTTATTTATAATTTTGATTTTTATATTTCAATTTCTTTATGTGGTATTCTCTGTGTGACGCCCCGGGATCTATAGTGAAAGAA